CTTGTCCTTCTTGTCCTTCTTGTCCTTCTTTTCCTTTTCGGGCGAAGTCGCTTGATCCACTTGATCCGCGTGGTGCTGAGTCTGTGTTTCGAGCTGGCTCGACGGTTCGAGCACCTCCATTGGGGTGTCCATCTCGTCCACCGTCTCCGCTGCTGTGATCATCGCCGTGAATGCATCATAGTCGATCTTGCCGGCGAGACCGTTCATAAGCCTTGTGAGTTGTGCAGCGACGACGCCGCCCGTCGAGCCGGCGGCGTCTTCGGACGCATTGTGCGTGCCCGTCCGCGCGGCGTACTGGGCCAAGAACGACGAGATGGATTCCGACACGGCGGTGTGGTCCATCGACACCGGTGCGTGCGCGAGCTCCAGGCGCAAAGGTAGCGGAAGTGCCGGCTCCATGCTTAAAGTATGGCAACAAGGTATGGCGTGGGTGAGGTCAAGAGGACGAGGAGCGTGCAAAATGTCAAAAAGTTCCACAAACTGCACCAAGAACCAAAGCCCCCGAGTCCCGCGAAATTTAAGCAGCGGCTTCGTAAGCCTGACGAATATAGATAGGCACAGGGTCTCAAAAACGCGCCCTGCCACGCCCAACACAACACACACTCCGCCGCAAGAATGTCAATCTTGGCCCGAGCTGCAATGCCCAACACCCCCCACGCAAGCCCAGCCTCGCTCCCCACCTCAGCAGCAACCACCACCACCACCACCACCCGTCGCCCAGCACACCAACAACCTCTACCGACTAGCCGAGCAAACATCCACAATGGAGGCGGTGGCAGCCGCGGATACGGCGCTCAACAACGCCACCTCGCTCGGCCTGGGCATGGTGATGGGCGGCAGCGAATCGGGCGTCCTTCCCGGCACCCTCTCCTCCTACACCACCGCGCTCGGCCTCAACGAGGCACTCCAGCACGACCCTCGCGCGCTCTGGTCGTCGTTCGCCATGATCATCGTCTCCGAAATCGGCGACAAGACCTTCCTCATCGCCGCCATCCTCGCCATGCGTCAGAGCCGCCTCGTGGTCTTTAGCGGTGCCTTTGCCAGCTTAGCCGTCATGTCGGTCCTCTCCGCCCTTCTCGGCGTCATGTTCCCCTCGCTCTTGCCCAAAAGCCTCACCAACCTCATGGCCGCTGCGCTCTTCCTCGTCTTCGGCCTCAAGATGGTGCGCGATGGCCTGCAGATGAGCGGCGACGAGCTGCAGGAAGAATGGCACGAGGCCGAACGCGAAATCGAAGAGGAAAACACGCACGAACTCGACTCGCTCGAACAAGGCCACACCACCCCCTCCCACTCTGCTACGAAACGCGCCGGTGGGATGGGCAACACCTTGCGCGAGGGCACCAAGAACCTGTGCGGCCTCTGCTTCAGCCCCGTCTTCGCACAGGCCTTCATCCTCACCTTCCTCGGCGAATGGGGCGACCGCTCCCAGATCGCAACCATCGCTCTCGCCGCAGCGCACAACGTCACCCTCGTATGCATAGGTACGATCGCAGGCCACGCGTGCTGCACGTCGATGGCGGTCGTGGGCGGCAGCTGGCTAGCCACCAAGATCAGCGTCAAGCACGTCACCCTCGGCGGCGCAACGCTGTTCCTCGTCTTTGCGGTGGTGTATGCCTTCGAGGCGTATAGCGAGCCGGGTGGGGTGTTGGCAGCGGAGAACGTCGTGCAGATGGCCAAACAGGCCGCAGGCGCATAACCCACACCCACAGCGACAGCAATAGAATTCTGCATCGTCTCGTCCAGTACCACCGTTCGAGCGTTGCAGATGGAGGTGAATCGTGCGAGCAATGTCGACGTGAGCACGAGAAGGACAAGCTAGATGGCCACGCCAGTCGTGCGTGTAGGTATGCGCGCCTTAGGCGGCCGAGCCAAAGTCGTCTGAGGTCCCCACCGTAACGCCGTGCGTCCCGCCGAGCCGTGTTAAAGTTCAAGGGTGGGCCCAAACGTTACCGCCCCGACGTGCGTTTGGCAAGTTTCGAGGCGCAGCTGGCTGGAAATTTCGCCTGTGTGTCTCACTTGGCGGGTCACGGCGGTGTGGAGGAAAAATGTGCCGCTTTCACGCCCCCGACGTCACCACCGCCCAAGCTCGCATATACCCGTCTGCCTTGACTTCTTCTGACCCTCCGCCATCATCCCACCCTACCAACACTCTCGCCACTTTGCCCTTCGTCAGGCGTTTCACCAACATGTCCAAAAAGTACGATGTGGTCGTATTCGGCGCCACGGGCTTTACGGGCCAGCTCGTGTGCAAGTACCTCCTCTCGCATCCGGAGCAGCGCCCCTGGGCCGTGGCTGGTCGCTCCGCCTCGCGCCTTGCGTCGCTGAAAAAGTCGCTCAACCTGCCCGACACGGTGGGCGTGATCGAGGCCGAGACGGCCAAGTACGACACGCTTACTGCCATGACCTCGCAGGCGCGCGTGCTTATCAACATCGTCGGTCCTTACCGCCCCTTCAACGCGGTGGCCGTCGTGCGCGCATGCCTCGAGTCCTCGACGCACTACGTCGACCTCTCCGGCGAGACGGGCTTCAACTCGGACTGCATCAGTCAGTTCCACGCGGACGCCCAGGCCAAAGGCGTCGTCATCGCCAACAGCGTCGGCTTCGACTCGCTCCCCTTTGACCTCTCCACCTTCCTCGCCGCCCAGAAGGCCAGGCAGCTCAGCGGCAAGGACGTTGCGCTGGCCGAGTGCGCCTACGAGCTGCCCAAGGACCTTTCGGCAGGCACGCTCGCCAGCGCGGTTTCCATGGCATCCGAAAAGCAGCAGATGTTTGCCGTGCGCGGCGACTGGCTCTCGCCCATCTCCAAGCCGCACAGTCTCGATTTCGCCAGCCCCGTGCGCTGGTTCGAGCAGCGCCGCAAGTGGGGTGCGCAAAACACCTTTTCCATCCACAACACGCGCACCGTCACGCGCACCTGGGGCCTCCTCCAACACCACTCCTCCCCCTCGGCCTACGGCTCCACCTTTGCCTACAAGGAAGGCACGCTGCTGCCCAACCGCATCGTCGCCTACATCGTCGCCTACGTCGGCGTGGTCTCGATCTGGGTGCTCATGAACATCGCGCCCATCCGCGAACTCATCGCCCGCTCCATGAAACCCAACTCCGGCCCCTCGGAACACTCGCTCGTCAACTCGAGGCTGCGCGTCGACACGCTCGCCACCGCCACCGACGGCACCAAGGCCATCTGCAAGATGTCCGCCAAGGGCCATCCCGGCTACCTCCTCACCGCGCGCATGATCACCGAGGCCGCCCTCACCATCCTTGCCACCAGCGACCGCGCCCTCCCCGGCGTCAAGGGCGGCGTGCTCACCCCCGCCCTCCTCGGTGCCGACACGCTCGCCGACCGCCTCTCCCAGTTCGCCCACTTCGACATCCGAACCGAAGCATACGAAGACGCAAAGAAGCGCTGATGCAGCCAGTGAAGAGAAATGTGATTCGAACCCCGTTACAATGCGCCTGATGTGCGTCGGCGTGTGCGTCGGCGTGAGCACTAGAGCACCAGCTCGACCTCGAGACTGTAGTCCTCGACCGCCCTGAGCTGCTTGACCGCCTTGGTGCGCTCCGAGTCGTCCGTGTGAATCGGCGACGACCCCACCTCGTCCCTCTCGTCGTCATTGCTCTTGGCCGTGGTCTTCGCCTTGGCCTTTGCTTTGGTCTTGCGCTTCGCCGCCGTCGCTCGCGCCTTGGGCGTGGACTTGGTGGCACGCCGACGCGGCGGGAGCAGCTTGACATAGTCATCCATGCGTAGATTGGCCGCCAAGGGCGACTCCTCCTCGTCCTCGTCCTCTGACGCACTTTTCTTGCGCGCTGCTTTCTTGGTCGCCTTGCGCTTGTGAGGCTCCCCCGCCACCTCCACATCCGACGACGACGATGACGGTGACGCCTGTTTGTTGCGCGCCACCCTCTTCGTCGCGGGCTTGCTCGTGCGCCCAACGCTGGATTCTGCGCTCTGCCTACGGGCCTCGTGCCGCTCCGAGCGGCGCCGCGTCGTCACAGTTGCTACACGCCGCTTGGCCGGCGGAGCCTCGACGTCTGAGTCATCCACCGGTTGTCTTTCTTGCTTCACGCGCGTGGAGCGTCGCACGGGCGGTGGCGAAGGCGACGTCTCGCTATCCTCCTCTGCTGGCTGCCCTGTTGAGTCATGTTCGCCGTCGCTGTCGGGGTGACCGACGGATGCTGGCTGCGAGCCCGGCGTCTCGTAGCGCGCTGGCGCAAGTGGTGGGCTCGACATGCCTGCAAAAGCGTGCTCCGCCAGCCGTCGATCGTCGCTCGCGTTGAACGGGTCCGTCGGAACATCTCCAGGCACCCACTGAACCGAGCCGCTCTGCGCAGACTGCGCGTCTTGTTCTTCCGGCTCGACCGGCGCCTGCGCCCGCTTGCGGACCTCGCGCTCGGCAATGAAAAAGCCAAACTCGTCGCTCTCGTCGCTCGCCACATGCTTTGCGCGATCCACATCATCCTCGGGCTCCGTCGGCCACGAGTCTGCATTCGAGCCACCGGGAGACGAGGGGGTGCGCTGCGCCAGACGGGCGGCCGGATCATGCCCCGCTGCTTTCCACGCCATCACCTTGGATACGCCGCGATCCTGGTAGTCGAGCAGCTGCTGTGCGGACTCGGTCAGCGGTGCGCGGCGTGCGACTCCTGGCGAATCGGGCTGACTGCCATCCGACTCGACGAGGAACAGATCATCCAACAGTGCGCCGGCGCCGGCGCCGCGAGAGCGCCCGCGCACAATCGGCGTCGAGTGCACCGGCTGGCCGCCCTCCAAGGGTTGCAACACCCCTGCGCGCTCGCGCGGCGGCGGCCTGACGCTGGCAGATGCGCGAGTGGCGGGTGGAGGCAGATTCTCCTTGTCCGAGGATCCGTGTACTGTGGCCGATTCTGCATCCGAGCCACCTCCCTTTGACGACGAGTTCGGGTCTTGTGCCTCGTGCTGCTCGTGTGGCATGGGCAGCTTGTTGGCATCAAAGTAGTCGAGGTCGTCGCTGTCGAGAGCCGGCGACACGCGGCTGAGCTCAGCATGGGTTGGTGCCGGCTTGGCTGTGCGATGCGCCGCCGCCTCGATCTGCGCCGAAAGTGAATCGCCCGCCGATACTTCGCAAAGGTGCGAAGTCGAGGGCACTTCGACATGCGAGAAGGCCCCATACTCAGTCCTCTTGACTTCCTGCACTGACATCACGCTGGGAGACCTCGCTCGTGTGGGGATGCTCGGCTTTGCCTCGGCGCTTTGATCGGCAGCACTGCGCTTCGGTCGCGTCGATGCAGTCCTTGATGTGGGAGCGGGCGATTTGGACTTGGCAGCCGCGGCCGACTTAGAAGCAGGCCGAGCCTTGCTCTTTGCTTGAGTCTGTTGGCTCTGCGGTGGAGCGTTGCGATTTCCCAGGGGCTTCCTCTGCGTGCCGCTCGCCGCAGCTTCAGCTCGGCGTCCGGCCGCGACGTTCTTGATGTCGCCGAGCGCCTGTCGAACGTGAGACGCGTTTTCGTCGGATTGCAGGCGGAGCGAGCCCTTCACGGACGATGACGACGACGGCGCGCGCGCCTTAGCTGTTCGGCTGCTTCCCGCATTTCTCTCCTGCTGCCGCTTTGAAGAGCGTAGACTGACCATGTCGCTGACCTGGAGCTCGAGCACCCTCTGGACAAGATGGCTGGGCCGGGGCAGAACGCTGATAGCGCGTTGTATGCGTGAAGCGTATGGCTCGTGTCGACTGAATATTCGCTGAAAGGCTGCAGTGGTCGGATGAGCGAAAGGTGGATGGATGGTGGAGCTAAGGCAAGAGGGAGAGGGGGCCCAAACGGTCAATCGAATGTGTCGTTCGCCAACAGAGTGTAGGAGGCTCAGTTCAGCACACGGGCGTTTTGGGCAGCATTGATTTTAAAGGGGTTTTTGCAGGGTGGAGGCGGCCTGCAGGATGCCCGCAAAGCACACTCAGAAGTCTCCGAGGGTCCAACACCTGCGACACGCACACCGTCGCGCTTTACGCGATTTCTCAGCTTCCAGCTTCCCTTGTTGGCCTGGCTCAGGTGCCCGGAAAATCGGCGGATCGGATCAGCCGAAAACGACGCGGAATCGGCGAAAGCGTGAAAGGCGGCATGTCGCATGGCTCAAGCTCTGGGTGCAACTGACAAGCGCTACTCGTCTTCCAGCAGGACCTCGACGTCGGTCGCAAAGACCTCGGAGAGCTCGCCCTGAAGGAGCTCGTGCAGTGTAGACGTTTCGCCCTCTTTGTGGCAGAACCACGTCTTGGTGTCGGCGTCGTAGTCGAACCTCTTGGGCCCGCTGTGATTTCGAGAGTGTGTGGCGTGAAAGATGGGCGCAATAACAAGCAGGGTCAGCGGTGTGCCAATGGGCAGTTGCGGCGCATGAGCAGGGCTTAGGAAGCTCGACACTTACCTCTTGGGGCTGGATAGCCAGATCTGCTTGTTGGGAGGCTGCTTGTTGATGACCCACGTCCCGTGCACGCCGCACCTGAGGTTCATGACGCCAGACTTTGTTGGGGCACAAAGACAGAAGAGCTAAAAGGGTCAGCGGTGTGTGCTCAGACTCGGGGCCTGGCGATCGCATCGGATCAGCCGACGCAATCTCGGCGAGATACTCACGGCGCATTCGATGTCCCATTCGGACGAAGGCGATCCGCGAGAGGCTCCCTGCATGTTGGATCGAGCCTCTTGCTCGAGTGCGTCCACGTCTGCATCCTCGAGCAGCGTTTCAAACGTCTCGGTGAGCGAGTCGATCGCCTGGTTCGACAGCTTGTGATATTCTCCGTCACTCAGCGGCGAGGCGCTGTACTTGGCCGTAGGTTGCGCCACCATGCTCGAGCAGCTGAAAAGGCGAATCGACGAGGGAGCAGCGCGTGCACTGTCCGGTATCGAGCGCGAGGATTGTCGCCAGGATTCGGAAGGGCCGAGACGGAAAGCAGGTGTAGCCACTGAGCGTGTTGGGATCGATCGGAACGCCGCCGATGGCAGCAGGCCGCGCTGGGTCGTCGTTCGCAGCATCATAGGTAGCTTCATCGCCGGGTTGCGCTCTTGCCTTGCTTGACTCGATTCGATGGATCGCCAATGAAGGTCGACTTGAACCAGCGTGGTGTTGCAGTGAATGGGAATGATTTTGGTCTTTCGAGGTTGAGCACCAAGATGGCGGCAACCTTTTGAGGCGGGTGTGGAGGCACGCACTCGGCCGATTGGAAGAAGAAGGCGTGACTCGCGCTAGCCGTCGTGAGTCAAAGCCGGCAACCTAAATTTTGGCCGTTGCAAATCAGCCACACACTGCGAGCCGCACTGCCAAAGCGCTGTCGGAAGTCGGTTACTAGATTGCACGGCGCCTTCAAGATAGCAGGCTCACTTTTGCCAACCACGAGTCATTCCTGACCACCGATCCACTTCACAAAAAGGGCCACATTCAGCCACCAACGTCGCATCGCCCTATCCACTCGCAACTATAGTAGTCGCACCTACACGCCTCACCACCATCATGACCATCAAGGGCCTCAACGGCGAGGCCAATTCGGCAGCCGCTGCCCACAAGCCCGCCCACTTCAAGCTCGAGAACCTCATCCGCCCCAACATTCTTTCGCTCGAGCCGTACCGTTGCGCACGCGATGACTACCAGTCTGGCATCCTGCTCGATGCCAACGAGAACAGCCTCGGCCACTCGCTGCCGCCCAAGTCGGTCATCCCTCACAATCCGGGCACCTCGAATGGCGCCACACCTGTGCAGTCGAACGAGGCCGACGACCCGCTCTCGCTCAACCGATACCCGGATCCAGGCCTTTTTGGCATCAAGGACTCGCTTGCACAGCTGCGTGGCGTTCCCAACGATGCCTTCGTCTTCCTCGGCGTGGGCAGCGACGAGGTGCTCGACCTCGTGCAGCGCGTCTGCTGCCGTCCCGGCAAAGACAAGATCCTCATCTGCCCACCCACCTACGGCATGTACAGCGTGTGCGCAGCCGTCAACGACCTCGAAGTCGTCAAGGTGCCCCTCATCACCGAGGGTGGCAGGTTCGCTCTCGATGTGGAAGCGGTCAACACGAAGCTCAGCGAAGACCCGGACATCAAGATCACCTTCATCTGCTCGCCAGGCAACCCCACCGGAACATTGATCCCGCCAACCGTCGTCAAGAAGGTTCTCGACAATCCAGACTACAAGGGTCTTGTTGTGGTCGACGAGGCGTACATCGACTTTGCCGAAGAGGAGAAGGCCATGGGCAAGCGTGCTCAGGATGACGTGGTGAGCGCCGTCAGCCTCGTCCACGAGTACCAGAACGTCATGGTCACACAGACGCTCTCCAAGGCATTCGGTCTCGCAGCCATTCGGTAAGCTTGCTCTTAACATCATCAGTCGTCTATGTGCTTCCCCACTGACTGAACCCTCTTTCCATTTCTTTCTCACTGCACAGCTTGGGAATCGCATTTGCGCAGCCAGCGTTGGTGCAGATCATGAACAACACCAAGGCGCCCTACAACATCTCTTCGCCTACCGCCCACCTTGCCTCATTAGCGCTTTCGCCACAGGGCATCGCCCAGATGCGCGAAAACGTCCAGACGCTCATCCGCAACCGCGACCAGCTCATGGCCGACCTCAAGAGCGTCCCCGGCACGGGCGCGATCCTTGGCGCCAACGAAGCCAACTTTGTGCTGGTCCAGATCTTGGATCTCGAGACACGCTCCAGGCCCGACAACAACGTGGCGCAGACGGTGTACAAGCGCATGGCCGAGGAGATGGGGCTGGTGGTGCGCAACCGTGCCAAGGACCTTGGCTGCGCTGGCTGCTTGAGAGTCACCGTGGGCACCGAGGCGGAGAACAAGCGCTGCATCGAGCTCATGAAGGGCCTCCTCGATGGCTCCAAGTGAGATTGTCGTCTGGATCACTGTGTTTGCAATGCAAGGTGGTGAGCTTCATGATCGACCGTGTGGGACCCCAGTGTCGAGTGCGACACAAGCGCGACGGTGGAGGGCGTGTGCCAGATTTGCCGCACGAGATGATCGTCGGCGGGTGGCGGGGAAAACGTGGAAATGACGGCGACTCGACTTTGCTGCCTCCACCTTGCGCGAGCCCAGCGTGCACTGACCTCTTCGCTCTTCCACAGCATCCGCCATCTCTCTCCTCCTTACCACACCATCCTCTTTCTTTCAAAATGACGTTCAGTGCCAAGTCGAGCAACAAAGTGGCTGGGGGCCAGCTGACCAAGTACGCATTCACCTCTTCGGCGCTCGGCTCGCTCGAGACGCAGATCAACGTGTTTGTCCCCTCGTCCGCCTCGTCCTCGCACAAAGTGCCGGTTCTCTACTACCTCTCCGGTCTCACGTGCACCGAGGACAACGCCGCTCAAAAGGGTGGCTTCTTCAACGCAGCCGAATCCGCTCAGATCGCACTCGTGTTTCCGGACACTTCTCCGCGCGGTGCCGGTGTCGACGGTGAAGATGAGAGCTACGACTTTGGTACCGGCGCTGGATTCTACCTGAACGCGACAAAGCAGCCCTGGAACAAGTGCTACAACATGTACGACTACGTTGTCGACGAGCTGCCCAAGAAGATCGCCTCAAGCGACCTTCCGATCGTAAGTGCATGCCCTGCTTTCCTAGCCTTTGACCGAGACGCTGACTTCTCTCACAGGACACGAGCCGGGCCTCGATCTTTGGCCACTCGATGGGCGGACATGGAGCGCTCACACTCTACCTCAAGAACCGATCTGCCTATCGAAGCGCATCTGCCTTTTCGCCCATCTGCAACCCCACCGCCTGCCCCTGGGGCAAGAAGGCCTTCGAAGGCTACCTCGCCTCGGGCCTCGAGGAAGGCAAGCAGTACGACGCCACGCTTCTGCTCGACCAGGCAGACGGTCAGCCCGACATCCTCGTCGATTCGGGCACCGCAGACGACTTCTACAAGCAGGGCCAGCTCCTTCCCGAAAACTTTGAAAAGGTCGCAAAGAACAAGGGATTCAAGAACGTTAGTGTCAGGCTCCAGGATGGATACGACCACAGCTACTACTTTATCTCCACCTTTGCCGAGGACCACATCAAGTTCCACGCAAAGTCCCTCAACGCCTGAACGGCCGGATGCACATACAAGAACTGGAATAGCCTTCTTCCCCAGATTTAATGAAAATCAGGAGATTCGGACGGGACCTGAAGATGTTTGGTGAAACTGAGTTGTTGACGCGGGATAACTGCAGTGAGAAAGCTTCGGTTTGAGCTTCGACGGCATAGGTGGGCGGCATGGAAGTGCAGTGCATCTCCATCACCACCGCTCGATGTGGCTTGGTCTGCATTCTGAAGAGCGGCTTGAAGCCAAGCTCACAAGATACTCTGCTCGGCTCGTCTAGTTGTCAGCACAAGACTCGGTGGTGCAGACATGCCTCGACTGGAGGAGAGCAGCCAGAGTCGAGCCACGCCTCGCCATGGCTGCGCCTTTGGAAATCCCCGCACCCCTCTTGAGCTCCACAGGGGCTCTACAACGAGAAGGCTGCTGCCTTGCTGTTCCCGGACGACGACTGATCCCGCGCAGTCGAGTCAATTCTGAGGACAGTGATGAAGCTGCTGCAGTGTCGTCCAAGGTCAAGGAAGCTGCTGCGGCCTTGTCCGAGGACGGCGAGCCAGGGCAACGTTCAAGCAGATGCTGCGCGAGGCCAATGATCAGGCTCGTGCATTGTCGTCCAAGACCAACGTCCAAGCTGCTGTCGCACTGCACTTCCACGACTCGCACGACGATGGCGATGAGCCTGTTGTCACTGCACCTGTCTCCAGACGAGCCAAAGTCGAATGATCGGCCAAGAAGCGCAAGCATCTCAACTACCCCAACGGCAACACGCACGAAGCGCAGCTCAGCAACCACTTCCGACGCGCTCCTTTGCATCAATGGCCGATTCGCCTCGGCCAGACAGATCTTCGCTTGAACTGCGAGAGTCCATCAGCCGTAAATACCATTTCCTTGTCCTCACGAATGTTTGTCGTCCCTCGACGTGATTGTATGCTTGATGTCATTACTAGCTGCGTCCAGCTCCAGGCAGAGCTGACTTGACCGGCAACAAGCTGGGGTATGCCGCGAGATTCAGACCCACACTCTGGAAATAGGCATCAGTGCTGCCTACACACTGGGACATTGCTGAACGCCAGTCTGTACCGCTGAATCTTCGTGCACAGCTGCCTTTTTGCCAGAAGGCAAAACGAGGCGTGGTTGAGCATCGACGTGTAGAGACGCACACCTGGCTGCGATCTAGATTTCTCAGTCTAGGGACTGGCTGCAACAAGACGAGTGCCTCAAAGATGCGCAGCTCACCGCACATTCGACAACCTGTTTTGCGGCGAAGCCAAAACCGGTTCGACGGAGACACGTCGGTGCAATCAGACTAGCAACCTCAACCGAACGACACCCTTTCTCTTCATCGCCCTTTGCTCTCGGCAAACTTTCGCGCGCAGCGGGTCAAAGGGCAAGGCAAGGTTGAGCTTCGACTGGATATGTACAGGCTCGGATCGAAACGGAGTGCGGGGAAGAAGAGGTCCAAATCGAAACAGACTCGGGGGCGCGTTTTCGTATCGTACGGAACGCAGGTGCACCATCACTTGGCACGACCTAGCGTTGGTTGAAAGGGGAAAGGAAAATTTGTCGATCGTATCGTTTTTAAAGAGCTTTTGTTTTTTGAGGGTGGAGAGGGTTCATAGAGCGGCAGAGCAAAGCTGCCAAGCATAAGGTGAAAGAAGAGGATGAGCGAGTGGGCACTACCGTTCTACCGAAGCAGAACCGCCGCGAGCCCAGCGATAGATGCGCACGCAATCCGAAAAGAGATGAGAAACACGACACAACGAGCCGTCTTCCGAGATGGATGTCGAAGGAAACCTGCCTAGGTCTATTAGCCGAGCCAAGAGGGGGGATTCCGCCAGAAGCCAGGAGAGAGAGAGAGAAAATCCGAAGGAGCGAGAGAGACGACCAAACGCACCCACGGCCCTAGCAACGCGTGGGTGGCTGCTTGCAGCAACAGGCATGACGGCATACAGCCATCACTCCCGAGCAGCGGCAACCTTTTCAAGGAGCTTGTCCTTGGGGGTTTTGAGGCCGTCTCCCTCGATCTTGCCGGCCAACTCCTCGATCTTCTCCTGCGTCACGTTCGCCGCCACCAGCAGATCCGCCACAAACGAGTAGATGGCCGGAATGTCGATGGAAGCGTCGTCCAGGAACTCCATGTGCGGCTCGAAGCCCTTGAAGGCAGACTCCTCGTCCAGGTGACCATCCTGGCTGAGCTTGGCGAACAGCGCCGCCACGTTGGCCACGTCCTCCTTCTTCTTCTCGATGGCCGTGCCGACGATCTTGTCCACGAACTCGGCCTGTCGCGACGCAGGCAGTGTGTTGAAGGCCTCGACACCCTCGTTGACGTCCTTGATCTCGAGGAACTCCTTGATGTCGTTGGCGATCTTGCGCTTGGCCTCCTCGTCCGACATGTCCGCGGCCTTGCCAGCATCCTCTTCGCCGTCGTTCTCGCCCTCCTTGTCGCCATCGTTGCCGGGAAGCGGCTTGGTGCGCGGTGCAAGGTTGAGCTTGGGACGCTGAGGCTCCTCGCTCGGCGCCGCATCGCCCTCGCCAGCCTGGTTGAGCAGCGAAAACATGTTGGTCTGCGAGCTGGTGCGCGTGGGAGGCTGGCTGCCGTCCTCGGAGCCCTTGCCCTGGTTCTTCCTGCCGAGCATGGTGGAAGGACCAAAGGAGAGAGGGCGTCCCGAAGTGCCGCGCTCGATCTTGCCAAAGTGCGACAGGTCGCCGGCCTTGCCGGGACGCGGGGGAGGAGCGACACCGCCGACGGTGCTCCAGCCGTCGGGACCGTTGTCGCGAGCCTGACCACGCTTGGATCCACCGCGCGAGATCGGGCCGCCACGAGCGCGCATGGCGTTCTCGGCGTCCTGCTGCTGCTTCTGCCTCGCGGCATCGGCGTGGATCTGGGCGATGGTCTTGGGCGCCGAGTTGTCGTGTCGCGGCACCCACCTCGACTCGCGGAGCTCGATGACGTCCTTGAGCATGAATCGCATTCGCGAGTTGATCGACACCTCGTTCTTGGACATCTCGTTCATGCGCTGGAAGTAGATGTCCATGTGGCCGCGCGCCTTCTCCGAGTCGAGCAGCTTGCCGACGGTGGTCATGAGCTTGCAGAGCGACTCGATCTCCTCCTCCTCGGGGTCGGTGGCGTTGGCGAGCAGCTTCTTGATGCAGACGTGCATGATACGCTCCGTCAACATGCTGAGCTTGAACAGCTCACCGATGAAGCGAACGAGACCAAGACCGCGTCGTTTGGCCTTCTGGGCCTCGTAGTACTCGTCGGAGAGCAGCTCGGCCTCCTTGGGTGCGTCCGAGGGCTTCTCGCCGCGCTCCTCGGCGGCCTTGGCCTCGGCCTCGGCCTTGTCGTTGCTGTCCTTCTTGGCCTTGTCCTCGGCCTCCTTGGACTTGGCAGCGGCGATGGCAGTGTCGCGCTGAGCCCAGCCACGCTCGAAGTCCTCCTGACAGCGGTTGAGCAGGTACTTGCGGAAGAGCGAGCCGCCAACGACGGGCTTGCCATCGGTGGTGCGCAGGCTCTCGTCCTTGACCTCGGGGCTGACCTCCTCCATGAGCTTTCGGCAGAGACGAGCGTACATCTCGGACCAGGCAGCCTCGTCGGTGGCCTTTTCGAAGATGAGCTGAATGACCTGTCGCAACGTGCGTCCGTCGTCCTCGGAGACCGACTTGTTGGCCCACTCGAGGATCTGGTTGGAGATCGAGTCGAACTTCTCGAGCGTAAGCTTGTTGAGCAGACCCTTGACCTTTCGCTGCACCATCTCGGGCGAGTCCGCCTTGACCTGGCTGGCACCTCGGCTCCATCGGTTCTCCGAGTTGGCGAGGGGCACGACCTGGTCGAGAGGGATGGTGGGACCGCCCTTCTCGGGAGGGTTGACCTGGGGACCGCGGCTCGAGTTGGGGTCGCGCTGGCGGCCACGGTTGCTCTTGGTGCGGCCACCGTTGGGGATGCCGGTGCCCATCATGTCACGCGAGGGCAGCGCAGTGCTGCCGCTTCCGGTGCGGGAAAGGGGTTGCGAGCGGGCGCCGGCGTTGAACGAGCCCATGGGGCCAAAAGCGCCCATGCCCGAAGCACGAGCACCGGAGGCGGCGGCGAAGCGCTCCTCGCTCGTCTTGGCAGGGTGGCTGAAGGAGCCGATGCCGCCCTTGCCGCCAAAGCCGGAGGACCCGCTGATGCCGAGACCCTGGGCACGGCCGGGAGCGGCGGGAGGGCCCATGGCCGAGGCACGACGGTTGAGTCGGCCGGCGCCCATGCCGCCACTCTCCATGCCGATCGAGGCGAGCGGAGGCAGGTCGATGGGCTTCTCGGTGTAGACGCCCATGAACTGCATGAGGAAGTCTCGGTCGTAGCGGAACTTGCCTGGCTCGGCAGACTGGTTGAGCTCGGGCTTGGGCGAGTTGATGTTGGTGGGGTAGTTGACCTTGCTGAAGCTGTCGATGAACTTGGCAGCCACGAGCGAGGCCGAGGCGCCGGAAGAGGAGCCCTCCTCCTTGTCCTTGTTGGAAGGTTGCGAGGGCGACGAAGCGGCGTCGGTGGTGGTGACGGTCTTCTTCTTCTTCTCAAGAGCCTCGCCGTCGAGCTTGATGCCGTTGCCGTTGGAGGCGGCGGCAGAGCCGATGGTGCTGAGAGGCTTGGCGGGCAGACCGGCGAAGCCGGGCGTGCCGGGCGTGCGAGGCGTCTGAGGAAGGCCGGGGGTCTTGGGCGCATCCTGGCTGGAGGGAGGCACCGAGGAGGCTTCACGAGCCATGCGCTCGACGTCGGCGACGGAGCTGCGAGCGGCCTTCTCGGTGTCGATGGGCGCCGGCTTGGGCTTGGACTCATCGGCAGCGGTCTTGGTCTCGGCAGCGGCGTCCGCCTTGGACTTGGCCGCCTCCTCCTCGGCCTCCTCGGCCTTCTTGGCCTCTTCGGCCTTGCGCTGAGCCTCGGCCTCGGCCTCAGCCTTGGCCTTGGCCTCTGCGTCGGCCTTCTCCTTTGCCTCGCGCTCCTTCTGCTCGGCTTCAGCCTTGGCCTTGGCCTCAGCTTCCTCGGCAGCCTTGCGCTCAGCGGCGGCCTTCTCTTCGGCCTCGCGCTTGGCAGCAGCCTCCTTGGCGGCAGCAGCGTCGTCGTCGGCCTTCTTCTTGGCGTCGGCAGCCTCCTTGGCCTGCTTGTCGTCATCGTCCTGCTTCTTATCCGCGGCAGCGGCGGCGTCCTTGGAACCGCTCTCCTGCTCGGCCTTCTTACGGGCAGCCTCCTCCTTGCTAGCCTGGACGCGCGCCATGAAGGCCTCTGGGGTCTCCATGCGAATGGGCTTGCTCTGGGCGGGCTGGACGATGGCGGGCGAGGCCCTCGAGATGCTGGGCGAGCTGGTCGCCGATGCAGGTGCGGTCGACTTCTGCGAGGCGGCAGGCGTCTTCTGGATGCTCTGCAGATCGACAGCGGCCTGGGTCTCGGGGTTGACGATGCGGATGGCGGCGCTCTGCCTCTTCTGCGTAGGCTCAAACTGACGAGCGGCGGGGCTCATGGGGTTGCTGAACGAGTGCGAGGGCGAGTGGTAGCTGGCGGCGGGGCTGAAGGTGGGCGGACGGCTGGCCTGCTGCTGACCGAGCGTCATGGGCTGGTGGGCGGGCGAGCTGACGTTGCTGTGAGCGGTGGAGGGCGAAGGGGGCACGTTGGCGCCGCGCGCCGAGAGCGGCGTGGAGGGAGCCATGGAGGGCGTGCCGGGAAGGCCGTTGGGGCCCATGGGCGAAGCGCCGAGGTTGGCGTGGCGCGGCGAGCGCGGCGTGCCTGGCATCTCGTAGCCGGGCTGCTGTCCGGCCCAGTGCTGGGGGACGGGCGAGTAGCCGTAGCCCGGGTGGTAGCCGTACTGGGGCGGTGCGTATGCCATGGGCTGCTGGTGCTGCCACGGGCCTCCCATGGGCTGCATGGGCTGCATGGGGACGGCGTTGGCCATGTGAGGAGAGCGCGGCTGCTGGGGCGCGCCCTGCGGGTGGCCGTGGAACTGCTGGTGGGGAGGAGCCTGGGATGCGATGCGGGAGCCCTGAGCCTGGTGAGCCGAAGGCGAACGCTGGGGCTCGAAAGGCCTGGCACCCGGGTGGTGCGGCGTGCCTGCTGGTGGCCTGAGGTTGGAGGAGGCATGTGGACGGCCAGCTTGCTGCGACTGGGAGCCGGAGTTGGGCTGCGGTGTGGAGGGCGCTGTGGATGCAGGAGCGGCGTTGGACGGGGAGGGCGAGCCGGAAGCGTTGGATGCGGCTGCCTGGGAGGGCGCGGGCGAGCCGGAGCCCTGGAAGAGCTTTTGGAAGTCCATGGACTTGGAGGAAGCGGCGCCGTTGGCGGGCGCAGCGTCTGGCTTTCCGCCTGCGAAGCCGATGGTGGTCTTTTTGGACTGAGGGTCCTGTGCGGCTACGGAGCCAAAGACGGTGGGCTTCTCGCCGTGGAGATGCTGACCGGAGCTGGGCTGAGCGGCAGGGGAGGAGGAGAGCATGGCGTTCTGGTCGTGGACGGAGCCAAAGTTGATGGCAGCGGCGGGACGCGGGTTTGCGGCGGCACCTTTTGGCAGGCTTACTGCAGACTGACGACGAGAGTTGGCTGCGGTTGCATCACCGTTGGGTCCAGCGGCGGCGACGTTGGAGTTGTTGCCCGCTGGATGCGATTCACTCGACATGGGCAGAGATTGGATGTCGAGATGCCAAGCAGCTTTTGAATGTGCTGGCTTCGGGATGTCGCGTGGATTGAAAGGGGGGGAAGGATGAGTTCGGACGCTGGCGGTCGAGACGATCAGGGCCGGAGCAGGACGAGTCGGGAACGGGCAGGAGGGCGAGCCAAAGTCCACGAGTCGCAAGTCGAAGCTGGGAGGATCCAAGTCGCCAAGACGAGCCTAGCGTCGAGACCGGGCTGGTGCGAGACCTGAGCTCGCTGTTTGTTGAATCGGAGCGCGCCTTTCGAACCGAGCGAAAGACGGGTGTTGATCCAAAGAAGGAGGAAGAAACCCTTACGAAAAGAAGAAGGGGAAGGGAAGGGAAGGAAAAGAAGGAAGAAACGGAAGAAGAAGAGGACCCTCGCGCTTCGTGATAAAGAAGAGGGAGGAGGTCGTCGTCGTCAACGTCGTCTTCTCGAATAGAGGGTGATGGCGAGAGAGAGGCGGACGTTGGCTGCGGACGTCGCTGCGTTGTCTGGGTTGGCTGCGCTGCGCTGCGCCTGGGTTAGCCTAGCAGCCAAGGCGTGGGTGGTGATGCGCTGCTGCTGCTGCTGCTGCTGCTGCT